CTCTCTCTGTGTGTGTCTATTTGTATATAAGATGAACAGGCGGGGCTTTCCTTCCTTCCGCTTTTACACTCCGATTCACAATGCGATGCGATCCTTGCAATGATATGTGACGACTTCAGAGCATACTCACACTAGGACTTTCTTACTTGTTTTTGGACGAAAATGCAGCCAGATACATCCAGGTCCGGCTGTAATTACGGTCAGGTACATTCAGAAGAGGTAGTGTGAGTACGCCCTCAAACAGTACACTACGCTACGCTTTGCTATCCTACGCTGTACGCTATTGCATATCCAACGATGGTACGTTGTCATAAGCGAGTCCATTAACCGTCCTACCTTATATTACAATATGCGCTCTCTGCTGTTTTATTTCGTGCTGCATTGTTCTGCATATTACGCGTGGGCAGTCGCTCGCAGGTTGCACGATGCGCGTAGGCGTGTGATTGTGTGGCCTACGCGCGCTAACGGAATCGACAAAAGAGAAGATAAATAGATATATATATTTGTGATGTGATCAGGAGGTCGTCCGTCATGGAGGTTTTTTGTGTGTTGAAGGAGACCTGTCGTTTGCGACATTCAGTGCGTGGACGCTGCTCTCTTTACCTTTTTTTTTTTTTTTTTTTCTTTACCATCTTCTCTCCTGCCTGTTGTGCTCAACTCTCCTCTCATGGGATTGTGACTCGCCGCACGACTCACCAAATGTTGTAAAATGAAGAATTCATGGCCCTTCGGGACATCCGTTAAAATTAGAATGATAGAGAGAAGATTAGCATGGCCCCTGCACAAGGATGACACGCATTAAAAAAAAATAAAATAAAAAATTATGGGTCTGGCTCCAGTATTCAACACTCTACTTGCACTTTGACTACGTCTTGGACCAGGTGCGTTTCGAGCGTTCCAACATTTCTAATGTATCGGGACAACATGAGCTCAGATACATCTAAAGTATTGAGTTGTGGAGCGAGGCCCTATCTTGCACTACATCGTCATAAGATGGGTCCGCTGGAGTTTTTCTTTTTCTCGTTGGGTGAGTG